TGTTATCCACACCAACCCTTGGTGTCGATTGACACTACAAAATTCTGAACACGAGTGTTACAATTCTCCCCCATTAAAATGAATTCTTCTTCGAATCCCTCAGCATCGTGTATCCGCAACACAAACTTCACCAGCGTCGCAACAATTCGCCTTACTACCTGACCATCCGGTTAACACAACCAATCTTGAGATTTAACACCATTAACCTCGTACAACCATCACCATGGTATGTACTATTTATAATCCTCCGGCCAACATAACCATGGCCCACTAGCTAACACATTCCTGGCCCACCAGCCAACACTACTCTCGCCCACCGATCAACACAAACGTAGCCCACCATCTAATACAACCCTGACCCAACCTGTCAGCAGAACCCAAACCCGAGATTGAACCACCATCAACATTCGAGATCTCCATCTAGTCTCTATGCTTATACCAACGCTATAAACATTATATGCTCTCAAATCATCCCCTCTCAGGTCACAACCATCGAGCCATACCGATACTAGGGAAACCAGCATCCCCTCAAGAGAACCATCATCCCCTCGAAGAGAACCACCATCTCCCCTGCCACTTTCAGGACCGCAGCCCTTTGAGCCATCGTAATCTAAGAGAACCACAATCCCCTTAGAACCACCATCTCCTCTTGAGTTGCTCAGGACCCACCATCCTTAGAGAAAACAAGCTATAACATCTCTAAGCATCTCCCGATCAATACCTTACATAGTCCAAGTACTATCTCGCAATGTCATACCTCCCAGCAATAGAAACACAAACGAAGACCTCCCTCGAATATCACCCCTACCATGACTCAACTCCCAAACCATTTCGCCATGCAGGGTGCTTCCACAATACTAACCAAAAATAGACCAATATACCCACACATAAACTTTCTATTTTAAAATTCGCATAACCACATAACTCCATGACACACAAGTTAAATTCCATAAGATATTATCATCTTATTAAAACCTCCAAGACAGGTACTCGGCCTTCCCGTCTCCTTAGAAGAGTAAACTCACGATATTCCTACAACCTGAGCGATTGGCTAAACCACCGCTACCATCATCTTTTGAAACTCGGGAAAATTAAGCTTTATATGCCCTACCTCCCCGCAATAGAAACACAAACGAAGACCTCCTTGCAGCCCATCCTTCTTCGGACAATTCTCCAACTTGTGATCCTTTCCTTTGCACCCGAAACACCCTCAACCCCCTTGACTCATCCCTAATATATCCTTGCACTTCCTCTTCTACCCTGACACTGGCTCTACCGGCGAACTAGAAACAATCACTTGACTCCTCAGCTCTTCCTCAATACCAGCCGCGATCTCAACCAACTCCAATCTCAAGGCATAGGTTTGCACCTTGCATCACACCCTCATGTCATGGTTGAGAGCCTACATGAATCGACGCACCTACATTTGCCCTGAATCTCGCGCTCGACCTGAGTACACCAAGAGCCTGCTAAACTCCGCATCGTACTCACGCACTATCTGCTCACTCTGGGTTAAGGTCATAAGTTGTGACTCCATGCTGTTTAATGCCTCATATGGGAAACTCTTGGCATTAAATTCTACCAAGAAGTCCGCCCACCACAGCAACATATGCTCCCTCTTGGCCAGGACACTCCTCCAACACAAATGTGCATCACCGACCAAGTAATGAGCAGCTAGGTCCACCCGGCACGCCTCTAGGCACCTCATAGACTAGAAATACCGCTTCAATATCACATGCCTCTCATCCGCTACAGCAGGGTTAGAACCTCAAGGAACATGCTCACCCAAACCTCTACAGCTGCTCCGTCATCGGCAAGTTGTACGTGTGCTCCACCACCGCACCTACTCCCTCCCCAACCGACTCAATACCTGGCGGTACACCCGCCCCTACTAGCTGCACTGTCGCAACCCCCAGCACAAAACCCGTAATCCCTGGCACAACACCCGCTGGCTTCACTTCCGCAGCCCCCGGCTGCACTCCCGCAACCCTTGGTGGTCCAAATGAAGCATGCACTGTTTATAAATTGGTGTCGACCAATTCAGACACCAAGTTGGTGTCGATCGAGACTAACTCTGCAGAAGCCCTCAAATCACCTCTCAACTCTCTTGACAGCGGATTTACACCTCCAAAGCTCCAACCAAGAACCCGAACACTCAATCATGCAAACACATCAGCAGAAACACTCAAACAAGCCACACACAGCAAAATACACATCAGAAGGGTTTAACATGCTGAGATCAACCATGATCACGCACTCACTTTTTGATTAGAATGAACAGGGACGAAAACGAGGAGAATAGAGGAATGACAAGATTCTCTTAACACCCACAACCACTTGCTAGATCCCTCAAGAACAAGCCACATAAACCCTAGAAACCTCTTGAAACCACCTCAGGGTACAACTCTCCCTCTCTGCGTTTTCTCTCAACTTTTAAGAAGCGATAAAACTCTAAAAATGAAGAGAAAACGGCTGCCTCGACTTGTTAATCGACCTAGGTTCCCCAAAACCAATATTTAAGTTATACCGACGATTAAAATTAAACAGGCTAACCCAAAATTTGTTGGTGTCATCGACACCCACCCTTGGTGTCGATCGACACTACAAAATTCCAAACATGGGTACATCTATACACAATTTTACTTCTTACACTCTTTACTATAAACTATAAAAGCTATTTATATGAAAAACCATAATATAAAGACGATGTCTATACCTGTATAGTATACAAATATTAACCACCGTACATATAATTGTTTGTATAGAGACATACAATTGGACATGATATTGTCTGTACAAATATAGCTGACATAGACATACAACTGTATAATAAAGAGTTTATTACAACAAATATTTTTAAAAAAGATAGGAACTTGTACAAGAAATTTGTGTAGTGCTTTCAATCTCAAAATATGATCATGTCCTTATAAAAAATAATACTCTGTATTTATACGCATACATGTGGTAAATACAAAATAATTTTAATGATTCTCTAATTGATGTATTCGTTTTGATTATGCCTTACATAACGACTGTCTCCGAATTATCTTTAAATGTCTTCTTTAATAATCATTCCAGGGTCAACTCCTCTCCTCCGAGCTCATCAATATCTTCTCTCTCCATCTTGTTTTGCTCCTTTCTGATTCGTTTATCTCGGAACACTGACCTCGTGTACTTTCTCACATCTCGTAGGATATGTATCCTCTTTCGTTGGTGTTGGGCCTTCAGGATAAGGTCTATGTACACAAATGAGGGGGTTTTATTGTACACAAATGAGGGGGTTTTATTGTTTTTAAGGATCGGCTTTCTTGGGGAGCGAGTGTAGATGGGAGTTTCACTGTCTCGTCGGCTTATGATGTTCTCACGAAGAACCGCAATCCTCGACAGAGCTTGGGGAAGTTTTTTAATGTGATTTGGCGAGCTTTGATCTCTGAGAGGACGAAACTTTTCTTGTGGCTGGCGGCTAATCAAGCTCTTATGACTAATGTCGAGCGTCATCGTCGACATTTGAGTGACACTAGTGTTTGTTCCGTGTGTAAGGCTGGGACGGAGACAATCCTTCACGTCCTTAGGGACTGTCCTGCGATGGCTGGGCTGTGGGAGCGGGTCATTCCTCGTCGGAAAGTGAGGACTTTTTTCTCTTTGTCTTTGCTTGAATGGTTGTATGATAATTTAGGAGACACAGGAGAAGCTGCAGGTAGTCAATGGGCGACGATGTATGCGATGGCAGTGTGGTGGGGCTGGAAATGGCGGTGCGGGAATATTTTTGGCTCTAATGGTCGGTGTAGAGATAGAGTCAAGTTCATTAAAGATGTAGCGAAGGAGGTGATGGACGCTCATGTTGAGGTTAGAAGGACAAATACTAATACAGCCCGTGTTGAGAGGTTAATTAGTTGGACGCATCCTAGTGATGGTTGGTTGAAATTAAATACTGACGGTGCTTCGCGGGGTCATCTTGGGTTCGCCACAGCGGGAGGTGCCGTACGGGATTGTGCGGGGAGTTGGTGCGGGGGGTTTGCAGTGAATATTGGGATTTGTTCCGCACCTATGGCAGAGTTATGGGGGGTGTATTATGGCTTGTATATGGCTTGGGAGCGGAAAGCTACAAGAGTGGAGCTCGAGGTAGATTCGAAGATGGTTGTCGGGTTTCTTAAGACAGGGATTAGCGAGTCTCATCCGCTGTCGTTCCTAATACGTTTGTGCTATGGCTTCTTATCAAAGGACTGGATTGTCCGTATTTCTCACGTGTATAGGGAAGCTAACCGTCTCGCGGATGGGTTAGCGAACTATGCTTTTTCTTTGCCTTTAGGTTTTCATTATTTTAATGTTATTCCGCCGGATGTGGCGTCGATTTTACACGAGGATGTGGTTGGTCCTCCTCGGCCAAGAAACGTTATTGTATAATTTTATTTTATTTTAATAAAACATAGGGAGGGCACTATCTCCCGTCTTTTTACCAAAAAAATAATAATTTATTGTTTATGTATAGAGACACAGTATAGTAAAATGTTTGTATAGATACAACTGTACATATAAACCAGTGTACATAAGATATGTATAAAGAGACACATAACTATAAAAATTAAAATTGTTTGAATGCTATTTTAAATCATTAAACATAGCCTATATATATAATGTATACAGTGAGAGGTTTGTTTGTTTAACACATTTAAAATAATTTGTGAAGAACAAAAATTTATTTTTTTTCCTCTTTTTTGTCCTAATTTAAACTTTATTACGTATAATATATCCCATGGTACGTGCTAGTTAGTACATGCATTTTTTTTAGAAAGGAAATTTATAAAAAATTTCTCTTTCAGTTTAAATTTCTAAACCATACTTAAATAACATAAACTTCTTATTATAGATTAATCCACTTTATGTGTTGGATTTGAATAAATAGGTGTCAAGTGTCTACCGTCAAAAACCGTAGAATCCGACTATGTGTGTGTGTTTTTTTAATGTTTAAAATCGATTATATTATTGGCAATCAATTAGAATTAATAAAACAAAAAGTTCATCAATAGTTTTATTTATGCAACATAATGGGATTTCTTACAACTACATGCAACATAGTTTTATTTATTACAACATTTCAATAGCACAAACCACTTAGTTACCCATATCTATTTTATTTTAATTAGCTTAATTATTATAACATTACTAAAACATATATAAAATAGCAATAGCAATAACTATTCGACCAAGACACTTGGATTCATAGAAGCATAAGCAAGGAGTTCTGTGTTCTGTTCAAAACACATCATGTTTTCTTCAGGTAATGTGACCAACGCTTCAATTCCTTGTCCGTCCTTGGAATCCATCAACATAGTTACATTGTCCAACATCGGAGCAACATTGCCGACGACCCAAACCGGCGATCCCCATCCAAAACTTGCCTCATAAAGAGGTAACTTGCACCAACTACTCACTGTGTAGGGTTGGTGAGTCTCATAGCTCAACATTGCAAATTTACCGAGCATCAGATTTGCTAGTTTAGCACCAATCTTCAAAGACGTTGACCCATCCTCATCTTTGATTACAACTCCTAAGTCCTCTTTCTTTTTTCGCAAGTCTTTAATGGCCTCTTCAATTTTAACATTCTCTCCTCGACTAACACTCAAGACTGCAGAAGAGAACATGACGTTTCCGATTAGGTTTTCTGGCAGAAAGGAAGGTATCTTGGGGCGCAAGTTAGCTGGTTGGATCAAAATCTTCGTGTCGGAAGTATTTGTGCTTGAGGATGCAACGAAGGCTTTCCAAAGAAGTGCAGTAACACTTTCCACTCGGGTAGGTTTGGCTACGACGTCTGCAGTAGCAGCTTTGACCCTAAGCTCTTCCAACTTGGACGAACCAAACACGAATCTCTTTGTTATTTTGCTTATCTTGTTGGCATTTTCGTCCAGCGGAAGCTGAAAGAACGGACTGGCTGGTGGGTAAAAATTTGCTGCTGCAAACGCGGGATCAACCAGAGATTCGCCCTCTCCTCGAGCCATAGCAGCCCAGGATCAAATGAAAGTTGAGATGGAGGCTGCGTCCGCGATTTTGTGGCTAATGCAAATTCCTATGGCCATTCCACCACAAGGAAAATAAGTGGCCTTTACGAGCAAGATAGGCCATGTATTTGCAGCCTCATTAGGGTTATCGATGACTTCAAGAGGAAGTAATTGTTGGATGGCTTTGAAATCCGGAGATCCTAGGAAATTAGAGAGAGGACAGTTATTGACACGAGCATCGACGAAAATAGCTCCTTCGTCGTTACAATCGATGGTGACGCCGTTGATTCTACCGGCAAGAGGGTAAAATTTGGTCAAGGTTTCAGAGAGAGAAGTTTTGAGTTTGTTGGAACAGTGTTCTGGAGAAATCAATTCATCATTGGTGTAGAAGAGAAAGGCCACTGTATAAACAGGAGGGATGATATGGTCATAAATAGAGAGTTGGAGAGTGTTTAGATTGTTTGGTGTGTTGGAAGATGGTTTTATGATTTCATTAGCGAATGTTTCAACCTTCATCGTCTCCATTGATTCTTCTTTCTTTAGTATTGATTTATAAGTATGGTTCTACATAATACATCAAGAAAGTTTCCTTTTATAGGGGTGTTTTACTAATAGGTGAAATTAATAATATGGTCAAATCATCATCACTGCCTTTTGAAAAAGAGTCTTTTAATTTACTTTATCTTTTTGGGGGAAAGAATATTTTCTTTAGAATAACTATAAATATAGTATGTAATAACTCTTTGGACAATTTTTTTGTTAAACTTTATTATATAGTTTGAGTAAAAATATTTTATAAATCCTCAAGTATTGAAATCTCTATATTTTTTTGTTAAACTTTATTTCTATCGAAAATAATGTGATGTTGTTTCATAAATGGGTATTTATTGTAATTAGATTGCATGCACTATATAAAATCTATATTTTTAATATGGTCAAAAAGTATATATGCGATTGGACAAATGGCAACATAGACTTTCTAATGTATTATTTTTTCCAAAATATAATTTTTGATATTTTAATTGATCTCCACTATCATTTGATTTATTGAGTTATTTTTAAAAAAAATTTATCAAAAAAAGTTCTATGGAATCCTTATTTTAAAACATAAAAAAAAAATAGATTTCGTTTCATAAACCGAAAATTTATTGCTATCAGATTACATTCTATAACAAAAGTATTTATAATATGGCCAACTATAATAAAATAAAATTAAACTGGACAAATGGCAACATATATAGAGAGGTATAAACTAAACGATGACAGATTGTGGATGGAAAAGATCAATAACACCTCAGCAAAAACTGATGGAAAGAAAGACTCTTGTGTTTTCCACTTCAGTTTATATACATTTGCCGTAATTATGAGTGTTAACTAACCCCAGTTGAAAGCTAGTGTAAATCTTAAGGAAATAAAGTAATAAAACTTTGAATATTATAGATTACATCGATTGTTCATGGAAATCATCGAATTATAATTTAGGTAAGGGATGATGGTGCTTTTAAGGTGAGAACGTAACAATTTTATCACTCTTATAATTCAAATTAACAGGAAATAAAACATTTTCACTTTATCACGCTCAAATTAACATGTCATCTGGTTAGGCACTTAGTCGGAATTACAGTCCCGTTTTACTTATAAATTTCTGCATGCAATGGTTTCATTAAACAAGTCGTAAACATGCATAAAATAGATTAGTTGAATAAAAAATCGAGGTTTTAGTACAACAACAAGTTCGCTAATCAGCTATTATCTCGATTTAAATATTTGACCAAATAAACTATCAAATTCACAAGAAACACGCTTAATTATGGCGTTCTATCAAGATTTTTGATCAAAAGAATAAATTATTTTAGGAACCATGCCGGTGGGGACACAACACGGAAAAAAAATCATGTGGTGCTTTATATGATCGGTAAACCATTCTATAAAGCCTTTTGCACGTAGCAAATCGACCGATGAATATAGATGGGCTCACGAGTCTGAAAAAGACATGGGACCCTCTAAGAGAGGTGGACCTGTTAACGGATGTTATTTGATACGAATATACTCGTGAGTTGGTTAGAGATCTTATTGATATAGTTATGTAGATACGATATTATCTAGTGAGTAACGAGATCTTGTAGAGACTGTATAAATTGTAACCTCTGCACATGATGAATGATAACACAAATTCGATAGTCTGTACCCTGTTTTACATGGTAGCAGAGCCAAAATCTTAAACACGAACAAAAACAAAAATGTCTGGGACAGATATTGTGAAATCGGAGTCGTCAAAGGCGATGTCGGCGGCGTACCAGCTGGCGGCAAACGAGAATCCAGGAGCCATCATAGCTCAGGTTCAGTTCAACGGTGACAACTTCGATGAATGGGCTCAAGCGGTGAGAACGGCGCTGCGAGTCAAGAAAAAGTTTGGGTTCGTTGACGGAAGTGTGACGGAACCAATGAAAGAAGAACCAGAGTATGAAGATTGGGTTTCTGCAAAATCGATGGTGTCGTTGTGGATTCTCAACACGGTGGATCCTAAAGTGCGCAAGACACTAGGGAACAAGGAAGATCCAGCAGAATTGTGGAAGGAAATCAAGGATCGTTTCTTTGAAGGAAATGGTCCTAGGATTCAGGAGATCAAGGCATAACTTGCCTTGTGTCGCCAAGGAAATATGAGGGTGCTTGATTACTATGGAAAGTTACAGGTTCTGTGGGAGGATCTGAGCAACTATGAAACTCCCGTGGTGTGCACTTGTGGAGGCTGTACCTGTGAAGTCAATGCAAAGTTTGAAAAAAAGAAAGAAGAGGATCGTATTCATCATTTTCTTCTTGGTCTTGATGAGGCAGTGTTTGGAGCGATGCGTACTTCGGTTATAGGTACAGATCTGTTGCCTAACATGAACCAAGTGTACTCAAAAGTGAAGTCAGTTGAGCGAGTCAATACTGTCATGCGTGGGAGAGAACAACAACTGTTTCACGTCGCCTTTGCTGCTCAAAACGGTAACGCAACAGTGGGGTATGAAGACAAATCAAAGCTGGTTTGCACGGCTTGTAAGAAGACGGGACACACGGCAGAAACATGCTTCCAAGTCATTGGTTATCCACAATGGTGGGTGAACGATCACGTCAAAGTGGACGTGGTGGAGGTCGAGGAGCTGGAAGTGGGCGTGGAACAATTCGCGCAAATGCTGCAATTGTTCAACCAGACGGTGAATCAAGTGCAGAAGCCGAGAGGAATGGGTTCACTGGCTTGACCAATGAGCAGTGGGGAACATTGATCAAGCTTCTCGGTGAGAAACAGGGGACAGAACCACGCCTGAATGGTAAGTCTTTCTGTCTTGACTGGGTACTTGATACAGGAGCCTCGAATCACATGACGGGGTTTAGTGAGCTCCTAGTTGATCAGAAGTATATGTTGCCATGTTCCATTGGTTTGCCAAATGGAAGTCAGAGCTTGTCGAAAGCTAAAGGAACAGTGGTCTTTGATGTTGACTTTCAGTTGCAAAATGTCTTGTTTGTAACAGACTTAAGATGCAACTTAATCTCAGTTTCTCAACTTACTGCGGATTTGGATGTAGTGATGCAAATTGCTAACAAAGGTTGTGTACTTCAGGACCGTACAACGAGGATCCTGACTGGCGCGGGAGAGCTTAGAGACGGGTTGTACTTCTTTCGTCGCTTACCAACGTTTACAGCTATTCATTTGAATAAAGACGGCGCTGATGATATGTGGCATCAAAGGCTTGGACATCCGTCAAATGGAGTTTTAGATTTGCTTCCAGTTGTTACTAGTAGGAGTAGGGATGTTTCAGTTTGTGAAATTTGTGTAAAAGCAAAACACACTACAAGAAATTTAAGTATCGGTACCAGATCATTGTAGCACGAATTCGCTAACTGCTACTAAAAGTCCCAAAAACGAATGCCAACTCTATTATAGCATTAAATTCGTGTTAATAAAAGTTATGGTTAAGCGGGAACCTAAAAATTATTACTATAGCTAGAAATTCATTTTGGAGGCAAAACACTTAGCCAAAATTTTGGTTTTTTACAACAAGAGTTAAAAGAAAAAAAATTTCTTTTGCGTCCAAGGCTAAAAAAAATTTGTTCTTCTCTATTATTCTTCTCATCTCTCGCTCTCCCATAAGGGCTATTCTTCTTCTTATAGAAATAGATTGAGATTTTGATTTAAAGCAAAAATCGAATGTGTTTGGAGCTACATCTCGCCGCGGATCTGGATAGGGTGTTGTTATTTCTCGTTTATGGATGGCGGATTTGGAGGTAGATCCAGCAGCGGTGGACCTTGCTAGGAACCAATAGGAATTGAATCGCTTCATCTCGGCGAAGAAGCGACGACGACGACGACGTTACCTCTTGATAATGTGACGACGGGCAACTCGTGACGACGGGCAACTTCTGACGACGAGGACGACGTTACCTCTTGATAACGCCGGTGGTTTTTTCACGGCTTTGTTTAAAGGGGATCTATTTCACGGGCAACTCGTGACGACGAAGAGTTTCACGGATCTTCAAGTGGTGGTTCTTTTGAGCAGAGAGTTGAGAAGAAGAAATGCCTCTCTCGGTTTGCAAATCCACCGGCGATATGCGTAAGGACTAAGGACTCTAGTTTCTTCTGCTGGGTTTTGATTTCTCTAAAATTAGGGTTCATGTGTCTTTAGATTGAGAACATAAAAGTTTAGTCATTCAATTCCAAACTTTAGCGCTGTAGAACATAATAACACCATATAATTTATGAGCTCAGCCACTAAAACTTGGAATTTTTGTCCAATTCTGCAAAAATGTAAATTGTCTGTGGTTTGCCGTTTTGTGTATCCATGAGCTTTATTTGGTGTTTACCCATCTACTATGGTTGCTTGTTGTTCCAAACGTAGTTTGATTTTTTTCCTATATGTAGTTTCATTTGTGATGTTAGACATTGTTTACTGGGAGATCTATGGCGTGGCTGATGTGTTTATACTCCATTTTGCAGCTCACCAACGTTAATTTTGAATTCAGTTTTTACATAAATTTGAATTACCTGTATGGATTTGTAGCATTTTGTGTATGTGTTTATAAAGTGATCCTTTTTTATGTTTGTCTAATATAGTTTGTCACTTCTGTTATGGAACGTGAAATATGTCCTCATATATGTTGTTGTGTTTACGTATTAAGTTTCAGGAACTGATTCCATTTATAAATTGGGTGAGAAGCACTTTCAGCATCCCGGTTCTCGGTCTTCTACTCTTTGCTTGGGTGGCCTTGTTTCCAATCATTCTTCTTCCATATTGTCCTTTTATGTGGCTGGCTGGCCTTACATTTTGTTATGGAGAGGGGTTTGTATTATTTTTATCAGCAGCATCAATAGGTGTTACTCTTCCTTGCTCACTCTCTGGCTTGAAAACTTATTAAACTATAGATGATCAACTTGGCCCTTTTCTTCCTGGTCTTTTGTGCAGGAATTGCTGAAGCTTTCCCAAAAAGGGCAGCCATACTTAGAGCTGCAGGTGAAGGAACATGGTTTCATCAGTTTCAAGTAGTCACACTAATCCGTGTCTCTCCATTCCCTGTCTCATGTCTCTGTGTTTGTATGCTTCGTTTTGAATTCTCATCTGCTTCTTTCTCATTAAACTCAGGTTTATGTGTTTGTTTCTTGTGTATTGTGTCTTGGTTTATGCAGAAGGTGGGGTTAATTCTTGCTACTTGGTTCTGGAGCTTGGGAAAACGTTTTTCTGATGGTGAGATCTATGTTCAGCTGCAAGAGGGTGTAATGTGATGTGATTTGAGTTTGTCACAAAGCAATAGGAACCATGATTAAGTATGCTTGTGCTCACTTTGTATGCTTGTGCTCACTTTGTATGCTTGTTACACATTGTATGTTTTGGATCTTTAAGGGAAAAGTATTGGTTATTGGTATTTACGATTTTGTTTGCTTTATATCTTTAAAAATCTTGATTACGACTATAATAGGTGCACAATTTGACAGTAATTAATGTAATGAAACAATATTCAAATGCATTTTATTAGTGTTATTATAAAATATTTCAGAGCACAAGAAAAACGTACATTATAGCGCGAAACAAATGCTAGCTTATTTTATACTATAGCAAATATTTATCGCTATTATAGGTACATCTACAGTAGCATTTATAAAAAGTGCTATTATATGTAGTGAAGCTATTATAGCACGGCCAATACTAGCGTTTATGAAAACGCTACCAAATCGATAAAGTAGCATTTTCAGTGTGCTACTAATGACCAATATTCTTGTAGTGACATAGCCGTGAGGCTTTTCACTTAAGCAATAATAAAAGCGACGAAGTTTTTGATATGATTCATTGTGATTTATGGGGGCCGTACCGCAGTCCTAGCTTGTGCAACTCGTTTTATTTCCTTACAATCGTTGATGACTTCTCTAGAGGAGTGTGGGTGTATCTTCTTCGAGAGAAAACACAAGTGAAGCAAATACTGAAAAATTTCTTGTCATTGGTGTTTAATCAATTCGTGAAGACTGTCAAGGTAGTCCGAAGTGACAATGGCACAGAATTCACTTGTTTCACAAGAGAATTTCAAGAAAAGGGAATAATTCACCAAACATCACCGCAGCAGAACGGGAGAGTCGAGCGGAAGCATCGACACATCTTGAACGTGGCGAGAGCACTCTTGTTTCAGTCTTCTCTACCAATTAAATTTTGGGGAGAAAGTGTTCTAACAGCGGCTTACCTAATTAATCAAACTCCATCCCGACTCTTGAAAGGAAAAACTCCTATGAACTAATTTACGGAACTGCTCCGTCTTATGACAATTTGAGAGTCTTTGGTTGTTTGGCGTTTGCTCATAAACAAAGACGAGGAGGAGATAAATTTGAATCCAGGAGTAGACGATGCTTGTTTGTTGGGTACCCGTTTGGAAAAAAGGTTGGAATATGTATGATTTAGAAACAGAGGAGGTGTTCGTGTCACGAGATGTAGTTTTTGTGGAAAATACTTTTCCTATGAGATCTCGTGAATTCAGAAGTGTGCACACGGGGTTGTTAAACGACACTTCTGATTTTGGTGACAAATCTGAGTCAACAACAGACGAACCTACTCGTGCGTTGGCAACAATAGATGAAGAAATATCGGTTTTTGAAACAGCAGATGAACCTAGTGAAGAAATGATGGTGGTGAACCATGAAGCTGAAATAAATGAGATGATTAGTGATGTTGAGACCTTGTCAGAAGAAGAAAATGCTGCACACGATGATGTAGTTCATGAACCAGTTTTAGCTGAAGAATTTGGACCTGGAAAAAGACCAAAATTACTTCCAGCTCGGTTACGTGATTATGTGCTACAGGTTGTGTGTGATCCGGAAAATGATGGGGTAGAGTCGTGTGACGAGATTCACTTCCCACTCTCGAAATATATCGACTGCAGCCAATTTTCACCTAAGTATCGATCTTTTCTCGCAGCAATCATTGTCGGAACAGAACCTACTACGTTTCGAGACGCTGTAGCATACCAAGAATGGCGAGAAGCTATGCAAAAGGAGATTGATGCCCTTGAAAAGAATCAAACGTGGACTGTCACAACCTTACCACCAGGGAAGAAAGCTATCGGGTGCAAGTGGATTTACAAACTCAAGTATCGAGCTGATGGAACATTGGAAAGATACAAGGCACGATTAGTCGTATTGGGGAATAATCAAAAAGAAGGTGTAGATTATGACGAGACTTTTGCACCAGTTGTAAAGATGACTACAGTTAGAACGTTTCTTGAGGTTGCTGCTGCGAAACAATGGGAATTGCATCAAATGGATGTAAACAATGCGTTTTTGCATGGAGAGTTGGAAGAAGAAGTGTATATGCAACTTCCACCCGGATTTCGTAATGGTGCAGACAAGATTTCAGTTTGTCTACTAAAGAAGTCGTTGTATGGATTAAAGCAAGCTCCACGGTGTTGGTTTGCTAAATTGAAAGGTGCTCTCACACAATATGGATTTAAGGATTCACATGCTGATTACTACTCAATGTTTTATTTGCGGCAAGGAGCATCTGAGATATATGTTCTAGTGTATGTAGATGATCTGATCAGTGGTGGGAACGACACTACTGGAATTGCAAAATTTAAGAAGTATTTAGGAGAATGCTTTCATATGAAAGACCTCGGATCATTGAAGTGCTTCTTGGGGATCGAGGTAGCAAGGAACAATAATGGCATTTTTCTTTGTCAACGAAAATACACATTGGATATCATCAACGAAGTGGGCTACCTTGGAGCACAGCCTGCTGCTTTTCCTATTGAGCAACAGCATAAACTTGCTCTCTCTGATGGTCCTTTGTTGGATGAACCAGAAAAGTACCGACGTCTTGTGGGGCGACTTGTATATCTTCTTGCTACTCGACCGGATTTGACATATGCTATTCATGTTTTGTCGCAGTTTATGCAGAATCCTCGATCAGATCATTGGAATTGTGCATTACGTGTGGTGCGTTATTTGAAAGGAACACCAGGACAAGGCATATTACTGAGAGCTGATAGTGATTTGAATTTACATGGCTGGTGTGATTCTGACTGGGGTGGGTGCCCATTGTCGAGACGATCTGTGAGTGGTTGGTTTGTCACGCTTGGTGCATCTCCGATATCGTGGAAGACTAAGAAACAGAAAGTGGTTGCACGCTCTTCTGCAGAAGCAGAGTATCGGTGTATGGCGTTAACTGTTAAAGAGTTGGAATGGTTGCGTCATTTGGTAGCAGATTTTGTAGTATCTCAAACCGAACCAACAGACTTACATTGTGATAACCAGGCAGCCTTGCACATCGAGCCAATCCAGTGTTTCATGAGAGAACTAAAGGAGTAGAGATAGATTGTCACAATGTTCGTGATGCAATACAAAGTGGAGACATTCGGACAAGGAAAGTTCATACCAAAGACCAGCTTGCTGACATCTTTACTAAAGCACTCGGTCGTCGAGAGTTTGAAAACATCGTTGTCAAGTTGGGCATTTGGAATCCGCATGCTCAACTTGAGGGGGGGGGGTGTTAACGGATGTTATTTGATACGAATATACTCGTGAGTTGGTTAGAGATCTTATTGATATAGTTATGTAGATACGATATTATCTAGTGAGTAACGAGATCTTATAGAGACTGTATAAATTGTAACCTCTGCACATGATGAATGATAACACAAATTCGATAGTCAGTACCCTGTTTTTTATAGGACCCATGGATTGCAAGTGGAAATAATTACCCTTTAAGAGATTTGACATTGGAGTGTTATAAGTGGTATGAGAGCCGAACCCAGACGATTGTGGAGTCAAGAGAGCATGATTGTTTTGGTGCGCAACAAGGATGTTGTGGTCTATTAATAGGGGTGAATTGTGATATCCCGGTTTCATCATATATAGTGGTCCATGTGAATACGTTAGTTAAATATAATTGTTTTGGCCACATATGTCATCAAAGTTTATTTAAGTAAATACCCCAATAATATTTAATTACAGCCAACCGATACACCTACAACAAACCAAGATGCACATCAAAAATATACCAAGCCAAATCCAATTTATTATAAATTGATGTAGACTAGCTACGATAACACCACGATCTTGTTGAGTATATGAATTCCCAAGAGTTGAAGTCTTCTTATTGCGTTGAGAACACGTTTGCTCTAGCCGTAATAAGGAATTAAGAGAAGAAGAGTTCTTCAATAAAATTTAATAATAAAAGTTGTGTCTTACAATCAAGGAATCGAGTTCCTTATATAGAGAACACCAACACCTATGAATTGTTAAGTTTCTATTATCTAGATACTAAATAAAAGGAAAACCAAACTCTTTTGCCAAAAGAAAGAAAAGGAAGAAAAACAGAGCAAGAGAACAAGAAGGAAAAAACAGAGACACCGACTTATATCATCACCCTGCATCAGGTCACCCGGGGTAGAGAAAGATTCGCCCTCGAATCTTCAAGTTCTTCTGCTGGAAAATCTGGAACAAGATGCTTCACATTGAATACGTCAGAACATCGAACCTCTGGAGGAAGACGAACACGATATGCATTTGCGTTTATTTTTTGTAACACTTCCAATGGTCCAATCTTTCTTGCTTTCAGCTTGTTGTATTCACGACGTGCAAAGCGATCACGAGTTAATATTGCCGACACAAAGTCTCCCACACAGAATTGAACATCACGACGATGCCTATCAGCTTCAGCTATGTATTTTGCCGACGAAACCTTCAAATTATCATGAACCTGTGTATGAATAAAAGAGAGATTGACTACAAAGTCGACAACTTGACCGTGATCACGAGTAATATCTGGAGTGACACCAAGATCGACTGGACCTCGAGGCACAAGTCCATACACCACACGAAATGGGCTAAATTGAGTACTTCTGTTAACCGCATGGTTATGGGCGAATTCTGCCTTGCATAATATTGTATCCCAAGATTTTACGTTGTCCCCTACAAGACAACGAAGCATATCACCCAAAGAACGGTTTGTAACTTCCGTTTGACTGTCGGACTGAGGATGGTAGGCAGAGCTCTATCCGATACGATGGAGGAAGGCAGACCATGAAGCCTATAGATCTTGCGGAAAAACAAAAGAGCTACTTGAACTGCATCCGTTGTCTTTTTGCAAGGAATGAAATGTGCCATTTTAGAGAATCGGTCAACAACCACAAAAATAGAATCATGCCCACGTTGTGTGCGAGGTAAGCCTAATACAAAATCCATGCTAATATCCGTCCATGGTTGAGTCGGTACCGGGAGAGGCATATAAAGACCATTGTTAGAGGCATGACCCTTAGATCGTTGGCATACCACACAACAATCAACAAATCGAGCAACATCGCGACGCATGGAAGGCCAGAAATAAGATTATACTACGAGTTGAAGAGTACGATCACGCCCCACATGTCCTCTTCATGTAATTTCTTGAATAATTTTTAGCCTTAAGCTGCACTCGGGAACACACAAGCGACGATCTCGAAACAAAAACCCATCATGTAATGTAAACTCAGAGACAATACCAGCTTGCAAATCTGCCCAACCAAAGAAGACATCATGTGGATATAAATCCGCAAAAACAGAAAAACCATGCACCGAGACTTGTAAAGTCGCCAAAAGAGTATTATGTCGACTCAATGCATCATCCACCTTATTTGTTCTCCCCGATTGATGCTTGATAACAAATGTGAACTGTTGTAAGAAAGCTATCCAAGAAGCATGATGTGCTGAAATTTTATCTTGACTGCCCAAATGTTTTAGCGCATCATGATCCGTATAGAGAATAAACTCTTGGTGAAAAAGATAATGCCGACAATGTTTAATAGCGTGGACAATGGCGTAAAATTCTACGTCATAAGTGATATTATGAGCACGAGATCCTGCTATCTTCTCACTAAAAAATGCGACCGGTCTCCCTTGTTGACTTAAAACAGCTTTAATACCCATCTTACAAGCATCACAATGTAACTCAAAAACAATAGAAAAATCGGGAAGAGCCAAAACCTGTACCGATGTTAGCTTCTTTTTTATAGTCTCAAAAGCCTCATTTGCTTGAGAAGTCCATACAAAAGAATACCCTTTCATGCAGTCCGTGAGAGGGGCGGTGATATTACTAAAATGATGAACAAAACGACGATAGAAGGATGCAAGGCCATGAAAGCTACGAACATCGGTTATTGATTTTGGAGTTAGCCACGTTTTGATTGCCTCAACCTTACTAGGATCCACTGCCAAACCTTCAGCAGAGACAATGTAACCTAGAAGCACGACCAATTTGATCCAAAAGATCATCCAAACGAGGAATAGGAAAATGATATCGTACCGTGATTTTGTTGATCGCTCGACTATCAACACATATCCTCCAAGAACCATCTTTTGGAATAAGCAAAGCAGGGACAGCAGTGGGACTAAGGCTTTCTCGTACATGTCCATTGACTAACAGCTCCTCCACTTGGTGCCGTAACTCCTCGTGTTCTTGTGGGCTCATTCGGTAATGGAGCCGGTTAGGTCAAACCGCATTAGGGACGAGGTCAATGTGGTGTTGAATATCACGTAGCGGCGGCAATTCCGTTGGTAATTCATTTGGGAAGACATCCTTAAAAGTCGTTAACAATCCTTCAAAAGCCTGAGGAACTGGCGGAGTAGTTATACTTGATGACAAAGATGCAACTACTGCCAAAATCACATCAGATTCTCGCACTTGAGCCTCAAAAGCGGATTTAGGGAGAATCAATAATGCACGTGAAGGCACTGGATTTGTATGCGACACAGACGTTTGTGGTGAAGAACTAGGAACTGATGTTACTTCTTTAGAAGGTAACAAAGTGATTGTTCGATCTTCAAACACAAGACTATAAGTGTTAGCTTTACCATGATGGCGAACGTTACGGTCATATTGTCAGGAGCGGCCCAACAATAGATGACAAGCATCCATAGGTAGCACATCACAGCTCACAGAATCTTTATATGCACCAATAGAAAAAGAAACTAGTGCTTGTTTTGCAACAGAAAGTTATGTTCTATTATTAAGCCAAGCAAGTTGATATGGTGATGGATGTGAGGCTGGTTGTATTCTTAGTTTGCGCACAGCTTCCTCAGAAATAACATTAGTGCAACTTCCAGAATCAATGATGAGCTTACAAATTTTCCCCTTAATTGTGGAGATTGAACGAAAGAGAGAGGTACGCAGCCATGATTCCTTTGTTGAACGTGGGAGTAAACAATTACGGCGAAGAACCAATATTTGTGATCCATGACCTGTATCTCCACCTATACAATCAGTATCATGCTCTTGGTTAGAATCAGACAAATATTCATCAAAGCGAGGCTCGTCAGTAAATTCTGTTTCTTGAGCAAGTAAACCCCGTCGCGTTTGATTGGGGCAAGCGGTCTGTCGATGTCCATTTTCTCCACAACTAAAACATCTTAATGCACTTGTACGTGGCTGTCGAGATGCAGCTATTGAATCCACATTAGCCCCTGTTTTTGACACAATTTTACGTGTGGAAGTCGATTCTGTATTTGACGTGTTAGCAATCTCACTTTGAGGCTGAGATTGGAAGCGACTTCGTGAACCAGTACTTCCCCAATTTTGTCGATATTGAACTCCCATGGGCAAAGCACATTGATGTGCTTCTGATACTGAGGTGGGATTGAATTGTTGGAGCGGCAACTGAAGCTGTGTACGAAGGCCACCAATAAATCGAGAAACGAGTTGGTCTTCTGCTTCAAGTAATGTTGTGCGAGCAACCATCTCAAAAAAATCAGTAGCATAATCTTCCACAGTTCGTGATCCTTGACGTAGGTTCTGCAATTTGTTATACAAGGTTCTCTCATAATTGTAAGGTAGAAAACCCTTACGCATATGTTTCTTCAATTTCTCCAATGTATCGATCTTAGATTTGTTAGAACGACGTCGAGATTCTTTTAGCTGAGTCCACCATGCCATGGCTCGGCTCTTGAATCGAGTAGCTACCAAGGAAACACGGATGTCATCAGGGACTTGTTTAAAATCTAAAACCTCTTCGACCACGTTAAGCCAATCTAGAAACTCCTCTGCTTTGAGACTTCCTGAAAACTCTGGAATATCGAGCTTGAACCCAGATTCCCAGCGAGTAGCCATATTGTTGCGTTGGTTGTTGTGGCAAAGTTGAATTCGCTGGTCTCGGTCTTGTTGAAGGGGATTTGCGAACAAGTTTTCATGAATCTCTTCATCCGTTTCAGCATCATGGTCGTCACGTTGCTGATGTTGTTGCTGCAGAACTGTTTGTAACGCGGTTTGAACAGCTTCCTGCAACGCCGCTTTTAATTCCATAGTGAAAGTCGTCAGAGTTTGACGAAATTCTTCTTGTTGATCCGGTTGGTTTGTGTTTCTTTTAGCTGTCATGGCTCGGCTCTTGAATCCGGGTTCATGGTCGTCAAAGCAGGAAGCTGAGTCCACCATGCCATGGCTCGGCTCTTGAATCGAGTAGCTACCAAGGAAACACGGATGTCATTAGGGACTTGTTTAAAATCTAAAACCTCTTCGACCATGTTAAGCCAATCTAGAAACCCCTCTGCTTTGAGACTTCCTGAAAACTCTGGAATATCGAGCTTGAACCCGGATTCCCAGCGAGTAGCCATATTGTTGCCTTGGTTGTTGTGGCAAAGTTGAATTCGCTGGTCTCGGTCTTGTTGAAGGGGATTTGCGAACAAGTTTTCATGAATCTCTTCATCCGTTTCAGCATCATGGTCGTCACGTTGGTGATGTTGTTGCTGCAGAACTGTTTGTAACGCGGTTTGAACAGCTTCCTGCAACGCCGCTTTTAATTCCATAGTGAAAGTCGTCAGAGTTTGACGAAATTCTTCTTGTTGATCCGGTTGGTTTGTGCATGGAGCCATAGAGATGTGTGTAGGGAACATGGGATCAAGCTTTAATTGAGAAATTAAAGCTCCTGGATTCTGATACCAACTGATTTAGACTAGCTACGATAACACCACGATCTTGTTTAGTCTATGAATTCCCAAGAGTCAAAGTCTTCTTATTGCGTTGAGAACACATTTGCTCTAGCCGTAATAAGGAATTAAGAGAAGAAGAGTTCTTCAATAAAATTTAATAATAAAAGTTGTGTCTTACAATCAAGGAATCAAGTTCCTTATATAGAGAACACCAACACCTATGAGTTGTTAAGTTTCTATTACCTAGATATTAAATAAAAGGAAAACCAAACTCTTTTGCCAAAAGAAAGAAAAGGAAGAAAAACAGAGCAAGAGAACAAGAAGGAAAAAACAGAGACACCGACTTATATCATCACCCTGCATCATAAATACATTATCAATTATAAGTAATCAAAACCAGCAAAGCAACATCTCTAAACCAGGTTCCAACAACATAACATAACCACTCTACACAACCAAAATTCTATATCATCTTTGTTTTACCCTGGTTTGCGGAGACGTTTAAAAGATTTCATTTGGCAACGTATTCACTAAAGGGAACTTATCTTTGTGGTTAAGAGTTCTAAGATAACTCCATAGTTAAGTGTGCTTATGCTTAAGTAGTCCAAAAATGGGTGACTCTCAGGGAAGTGATTATCAGAGCTCTGTGAGTGAGGCCAAAGTACAAGAAAATATTATTTGATGATTTGTAGAGTCAGTAAACAAGTCTTTAAAGCCTTCCGGACATAGTATACCGATCCTTGAATAAAAGTGGGCCCAAAGATTGGGATTGGACAAGGGGCACGTTAAGAGTAGTGGGCCCATAGACTGTGAAAGAACATATCATCCGATAAGAAAGGTGGCGGTCGAGGTTGTAATAAGTGGTATCAGAGCCGAATCTAGACGAGTGTGGATCATGAGGGCTTACACTGGCAGGGGATGATGATTTTGGTGCGCAACAAAGACATTGCAGCCTATTAGTGGAGATGAATTATGACACTCTGGTTTACGGAGAAGTTTAAAATATTTGATTTGGCTTTCTATTCAATAAAGTGCACTTATCTTTTCGGTCAAGGGTTCTAAGAGAAATCCACAGTTAAGTGTGCTTATGCTGGAGTAGACTAGAGATGGATGGCCTTCGAGGACGAGAAGTGATTGTCAGATCTGTGTGAGTGAGGCCAAAATACAAGGAAATATCATATTATGGTTTGTAGGGTCGTTAAACAAGTCTTTAAAGCCTCCCGGACATAGCAAACCAACCCTTGGATAAAGACTAGGATTTGACGTAGGGCCCTTTAAGAATGGTGGACTGTGAGTTGACATGGGACCTAGTGAGAGATGTGAGAGTGGGGGAGTTACAACCCTCTTATTGCTATGCCATGTCACATTTTACCTCAAAACAAGGGTGATTCTCAAACCAAAAGCATGAATCCCGCAACCAACAATGACTCCTAATCACTAGTTCCACTTACTAGTTCACTTCCAATCTGCATCGTTGAAAGTTCATGATGATCATACAGTAGATGAACTCTCGATCTCTCTTTAAGTCCATCTTGGTTCAGATAGCGTCTTAAGAGAGATATGATTTGCTAGGTCGAACCTCTTTTCTACCGAGCCATGCCAATTATATCTCCCTCTCCCTTCAAAAAAGCTTCAACCTCCTGAATAACAAAGAAAAACGCTTAGCCTCTCTTCTCCAGCTGGGGTGACCAGGAAATTCAGAGAGAAAAAGCTAGGTTTATTTGCGATTTTGCACTGAAATAGTCTTTAAGGATTTGTTTCCGGTTTATCTAAATCAAGCCAAAAAATAAATAAACTAGAATTAATTTAACCTCCCTTAAACCATAAGATGGAATTAAACCATTCGACTCCTTCCAATCAAAAACTAGCATTTCTAAATAGCAAATCAGTATTAACTACAAAAATCTCTATCATAATCATACAAAACAATAATTTAAATAGCAAATCATCAATCTCCAACCAATTTACAGTATTGTCTTCTATGCTGAAATGTATCATTACATTGGCAAATCAATATTAACTCTAACTACCAAGTCTTTTTATTAACTTTGTTTACTATCTCTGTCAAAGACATACCAAGTTTTACATGTCTTTTTCATTACTTATACACAACCAAAATCATTTAAAATAGCAAACTATTGGGAGATAGAGACCGGAGATTGACCAAGATCGACGGTCGAGATGTCAACCCCAAAATATGGAAATCGAGAAGATATTATTCTAGAAAATTATTCATAAATGTTAATATTGTGGGGTCAAGCGGCTGTAACATCCAAATCGTTAACGACGTTTATACCCGGTCGTAGGGTCAAAGCGGCTACAATACCCAGCTGTTAGGTCATCGACGTTTATACTCGGTCGTGGAGTCAAATTAGTGGAAAATACAGCTTTTGTAGTTGTGTATTTCCATCGATTTAAATCACAAGTCATGATTGTTCTTCAAACTTCGTGTTCATGACGAAACTTGTGTAAATTCATCACCACCAGATTAGCATCGTATCCGTCGATATCATTATCTTCGTATCTCCACAGCATCGTTGGAGTCATGGTCAAGATCTCAAAACCATCATAACAAGTATTATAACCATCATTGGCTCGTAACTTGTCGCCCACTAGCAACTTTGCTAGCCAATAAAAACCAAACCACAAACGTGAATCACTTTCGTCGGTGTACTCTCCACAGCATCACGTGGTTGGCTTTCCTACACGACCAAGTTGAACACGAAAAACCTCGTATCTTTTTTTTAGTAGAGAAATTTTTTTAAAAAAAAAATGAAAATCATAAAGGCGGATGCAAAAACCCTAACCCATAGGAATATCGAAAGCTCTGATAAATTGATGAGAGTAAAGAACACAAAAGTGTTTAAAGGAAGAATTATATTAGACTCTCATAAATGTAATGTTACAACTTACATGCTCTTATATAGAGATTATGATAAACATAAATATAAATAATATATATTGTGATAATGTTAAAATTCATAAATTAACTCAATATTAACATTTATAAATAATTTTCTAGAATAATACCTTCTCGATTTCCATATTTTTGGGGTTGACATCTCGACCGTCGATCTTGGTCAATCTCCGATCTCTATCTCCCAATACCCTCCGGCAAGCTCATACGTGGTGACACATGTGAGATTGGACAAGTCTTCAAAATAACGGCTTTATACTCGGCCGTCGAGTCATCATTGACGTTTATACCCTGTCTAACTTTGCTAGCTAATAAGAAATTAAGAACCAAACATGGCCAAACCACAAACGTGATTCTAGAGAGATCACGTTTCTTTTCTATTTTCTCTTTTTTTTTCTTTTTTTTTTTGAGTAGAAAACAATATAAGCTAGTGGTACCAAAATAAGGCTTGTCTCTGGGCTAGTGCGATACATGAGATTCCCCGGATATGGAGAGTGTACAACCGAGTGAGGGGTATTGCATTGCCTAATGACCAGTTTCAATTTATTTTTGATTCGGAAGCGGAGTTGAAGACGGTGCTTGAGGGTAGAGCTTGGACATTCAATGACTGGAGTATAACCTTGGATCGTTGGGTAGAAAAACCACCAGCGGACTTTCTCCAAGTTCTACCAATTTGGATCCGACTAAGAAACATTCCAGTTCACTTCCTCACCAAGGAGGCGATTCAAGAGATTGCAGAACATATCGGAACAGTCACTCATGTCGCTTTTGATCCGCTTAAGCCACTGAGCAAAGGGTATGTTCTAGTAAGGATACTTTTTGATGTAAACAGGCCACTGAAAAATGCAAGGGAGCTTCAAACGCCAACAGGTGAAGTGGCTTCCATTGGTATTGAGTATGAAAGAATAAGACGTAGGTGTTACCAGTGTCTCAGGCTGACTCACGACAAAGAACGGTGTCCTTTTAATCCCTCAAACCGGCAAGTCATTGCTACGGGAGGTTTTAAATCGACAACGGTCATTCCGGCGAGATTAATTCCCAAGATTAGTGAAGATGATCCTCTTTACGGTGTGTTAACCAATAAAGATGTGGGAATTGACTTTGCAACCGGAAAACCAAAAACCGCAAAGGAAGTACTTGATGAAATGCAACAATACTTGTCAGTCGCAGATCCTGAGTTAAAGAAACTTCACATTGCGAGGGTCCGTAAATCTGTATGGGATTTAGAAGGAGACTTACAGGGGCAAAAGTCTATGCTCATGTTAGAGACACTGATGGAGTTCACAGCGGATGTGAATAAAGGGAAGGGTCTAGTGTTTGATTTTGAAGGAGTAGGCACGAGTTCAGGACAAGATGGAAACGGTATCGTTGCGGTTGTGGCTCAAGGGAAGACGATGACGCTTAATTCTCAGCCGATGTAGTCTCGCTCTGCTACTTATGCGACTGCCTCTCAACATGATTTGGGTTCTATGGGTTTCAGGGCTAGCTTCTCAGCTGGTTCATCCGGGACTAGGCCAAACAAATCAAAGCAGAGAAGACGTCCAAGACAGTGGAAGCGTAAGGCTCAAGCTTTAAAGGCAAAGGATGCAAATTCACAAGCTTTGGTTCCGGTTGGTGATGATAGTGTTTCTTCGAAGCGTAAAGCTGTTCAGGAAGTGGTTTGGTCGGCTAAAGTAGCAAAACACACTAGAGAGACGGTGGTTCCGGTGGAGGAACCGCCACAGCAAAGATGAGCTTCATGAGTTGGAATTGTCAAGGCTTGGGGGCAACTTGACAATTCCTATTTTGAGGAAATGAGGCGTGAACATTTCCCGGATTTTTTGTTCCTCCTGGAGACTAAAAACTCCAGTAGTCACGTCGTGAATTTGCAGCGCTCATTGGGTTATGACCATGCTTGCATTGTTGATCCGGTTGGTCTGAGTGGTGGGCTTGCATTGTTTTGGAAGGCATCATATGATGTTCAAGTGTTAAGTTATAATTCCAGAATTATTGATGTTAAAGTTAAGCTTGGCTCCACTGGATTTTATGTCTCTTGTGTTTATGGGGATCCAGTGCCTCATTTACGGCAAGGAGTGTGGGATCAAATAATAAACATTGAAGTTTCTAGAGATGAGCCATGGTTTGTCGTTGGTTACCTTAATGAGATTACTGATAATTCTGAAAAGTTAGGGGGACCAACACGGGCAAAGTCTTCTTTATTTCCTTTTAGGAATATGATAAGGGATTGCCTTATACGGGAGGTTCCGAATATTGGTAATAAGTTGTCTTGGGCTGGAGAGCGTAACAAGATGTGGATCTAATGTCGTCTAGACAGGGCATTAGGAAATGAGGCGTGGTTCCAAACCTTTCCACGAGTTCAAGCTGAATATTTGGAGAGAATTGGCTCGGACCATAGACCTGTATTCACTCGTTTTGTTAATGAGAATATCTCTCGTCGTGGTAGATTTATTTTTGACAAACGATGGATTTCAAAACCGGGTTTTGCTGATGTGATACGAGTCGGTTGGAGTAGTGGTGATGAGTTGGGACAAGTGTCTTTGATGCAAAGAATTGCAAATTGTCGAAGGTCGATCTCTTTGTGGAAGAAAGATACTAATCAAAACTCAAAAGAGAGACTAACGACACCACGTGAGCTTCTAGAGTTGGAGAGTTCTAAAGTACTACCATATTTTAATTTGTTAAAGTCCTTACGATGGGATATTTCTGAAGCTTACCGGGAAGAAGAGTTGTTTTGGAAGCAACAAAGCAAGGAAAGATGGCTGCGAGAGGGTGATCATAACACAAAATTCTTTCACGGTAGTGTACAGCAACGACGAGTGCAAAACAGAATTTTATCTCTGTTTGGTGAGTTTGGCGTGGAGCAATTTTCTGAGGGCTCTAAATGAGAAGTCGCGGTTTCATACTTCAGAAAATTATTTTCGAGTTCACGTCCTACGGTAGCTATGGAAGCGCTAGATGGGCTAGTACCAAGGGTCACTAATGCCATGAATGAAGAATTAATCAAGCCGGTCTCGGGAGAAGAAATTCGTCAAGCGGCTCTTAGTATCAGAGGTGAGAGTACTCCCGGGGCGGATGGGATATCAGGTCATTTTTACCACAAGTATTGGAATATAGTTGGGCCTCAAGTGATCCATGAAGTTCAGCAGTTCTTCCAGTCGGGTTCTTTGCCTTCGGAGTGGAATTTTACACAAATTTGGTTACTCCCAAAGAAGCCGAATCCATCTCATATGACTGACCTTCGTCCCATTAGCCTTTCTTCGGTATTGTATAAAATTATCTCCAAAATTGTATGCAATAGGTTAAAGAAGTTTTTACCAGCTATTGTTTCGGATACACAAGGTGCATTTGTTTCTGGGAGGTTGATATCAGACAATATTTTGCTGGCTCATGAGATGGTTCATGCCTTACAAACAAACCCAAGTTGTAATGAAGATTTTATGGCAATCAAGACGGATATGTCAAAAGCTTATGATAGGGTTGAATGGAGCTTCCTTGAAGAATTAATGATAAGAAAGGGTTTTGATATCAGATGGGTTCAGTGGGTTATGAGTTGTGTTAGTACAGTTTCATACTCAGTTCTCATTAATGGTTCTTCTTATGGTTTCTGTAAACCAGAGAGAGGAATCCGTCAAGGAGACCCACTATCGCCTTTTCTTTTTATTTTGTGTGCGGAAGCTCTTGTACACATCATGAAAAAGGCTGAGCTAGAAGGTCGTCTCACGGGGATAAAGCTTTCTCCTGCTTGTCCGTCGGTTCAACATCTTCTTTTCGCGGATGATAGTTTATTTCTTTGTCGAGCCACACTTCCCGAGTGTTCGGAGTTTCTTCACTGTTTACAGCTTTATGGGAGAGCTTCGGGGCAGGAAATAAATTTCCAGAAATCAGCTATAATTTGGTAAGAAGATTGATATGTATATGAGGCGATTGCTTAGTCTTTTGGCTGGTATAACTCAGGAGGGTGGAGCGGGTAAGTATTTGGGAAGCTATAAATAGTTTGGTCTATGCTCAGCGGGTAAGCGACCCTCACATTCTTTGGGTCTCGGCAAAAGATGATATGTTAGAATGGTGCCAACAACAAGAAAGCATTGCCTCTAATGCTGTTCCGGATGGACGACGGGTTGTTGGTTTAGGCAATCATTGGTACGGTGTAAGCCAGCCATTGGTAAGTTAAAATGTAATGTTCATTCTTCTTGGATCAATGATTCTTCTTTTTGTGGTGGAGCTTGGATACTACGGAATCATATCGGAGATGTGTCATATCATGCAAGAGATGCTTTCTTTCCCCGTGTTAATCGCATTGCATCGGAGTTGAGTTGTATTCTATGGAGTTTATGTAGTTTGCGGGATATGAGGTTCTCTTCTTGTGAAGTTTGGATGGACTTTCATGCAGCTTGGGAAGCAATATCTAATCCTCTCGCTTGGCCTAAGTATCGTTCTCAGACTACAAAGATTTGGCAGGTAGTACGGGTGATGCGGGAGGTTTCTTTCCACCTCTTTTCGCCGAAAGTTAATGTACTAGCTAAGGAGATTCCCTACAGCGTTACGAGAGATGGACGGTTAACGTCTTATTTGGAACTAGGAGGACCGGCGTGGCTCCAAGAGTGTATTGAATGGGATAAAAGATTAGGTGATTGAGTTCTTCTCGTGGTTATTTTGTTCCCTTTACCTTGTTTTTCTTCCTTGTACTGGACTTATGTGGTTATCATTCATGCAATGCAAAGCGTTAAAAAAAAAAAGAAAAAAAGAAAAATCTATAGAAGATCATAGAAGCGGAAGCAAAATAGAAACCCTAATCCATAGGATCAAGGGCTCTGATGCCATGCTAAATTGATGAGAGTAAAGAACACAAAAATGTTTAAAGGAAGAATTATATTAGACTCTCATAGATGTAATGTTACAACTTACATGCTCTTATATAGAGATTAGGATAAACATAAATGTAAATAATATATATTGTGATAATGTTAAATTTCCTAAACTCAATATTAACATTTATAAATAATCTTCTATAATAATATCTTCTCGATTTCCATATTTTGGGGTTGACATCTCGACCGTCGATCTTGGTCAATCTCCGGTCTCTATCTCCCAATATAAACCACCAAACCAAACAAAATTTTCTCTATCTACTCTACCATTGAGTTTTAAATACACCTACCAGCAAAATTCGAAATTATGATTGCATTATCAATTTTGACAAATGTTCTTATACAAATGATGATCATTCAAATGATCATAACCCAATAGAGCAAATATGTTTAAAAGGATCAAAACCTACAAACAATACAATCAATCTCCCTCTTAGGGTTTAACAGTTACCTTTTTTGCTATTCGATATCTCTCTAATCAACGCCGGGTTATACCCAAATATCTCCACTTTCCTCGCCTTCCGTTCGAAACCTATGAAAAACTATGTTACTATGTTTCCATTTCAATTTCAAACCGACAATAGTTACTGAACAATAACTCTACTTACATACTTACTGGAACTGTTTCTTGTCAAGAAACGCCAAATTTTCCAAACTCTACACGACCCAAATAACGAACTGTCGTCCTCTAACAAACTGCCTTTTTTTCTTCCCAACTAATGATGCTTGGTTGACTCGTCGCGTTCGCCTCGCCTCGCCGTCGATTGAAAAGCTTTCGTAAAAAACCTCTATCAGTTATCTATTACTTATCTTATCTCTTATACTACTCTCTATTCTAACGCCTTCGAATCAACTCTACCATATTCTTACCGGAAATAACACAGAAACACCAGTTAAACGAGAGAGAAAACGACAGTTCAATTAACTTCAGATTAGAAGTTGTAATTTTAGAACGTTAGCTATCCAAATACCGTTTGTTATTTTTATTTCCAGTTCCATATTATTAAAAATAATTTTAGTACTTAAATTACATCTTCCTACTGTTTTACGTTTTTTTTTTTAATTTGCAATATATATATAATTATATGTCTACACACACTACATAATCAAAATATCAATGTCATTATCATGGTTTGTGAGAACGAAAGAATGGTGTTCCATTTTAAATAATTTTTTCAAAAATATAGTTTAATATGTATATGATATACACTAGATTTTGAATCATACAAAATATAAAACTAGAGAATTTTTGAGAGCTGCCTTTTTTGGTGTACCCCTTCTAAAAAATACCCCATTTTCAATCCATTTTCAAAAATACCCGGTTTTCAAATATAAAAAATTATAACATTCTATATGGTTTATAAGGTACATCTAGATAATCATTACTACTGGGAAACTCGATCCATATATTTATAATGTTTTAAAAGGTTATAAACGGCTTTTATAAAAAAATTATAAGGTTTTTATAAGGTTTTTAAAAGGTTTACAATTTTTTATAAGATTTTTAAATGATTTTTATAAGGCTTTTAGAAGGTCTTTATAGGGTATTTATGAAATATATATTTAAATTTACACACATGTAAAGATCATTTGTGTCTATATATATATATATAAACTTACACATAGTTTTTTGATAAATTTCAAATATGTTGCGATTATTTGATTAAATTTGAAAAAGTGGGTATTTTTAAAAAGTAATATTGGAAAATAGGTATTTTTGAAATTCTCCTTATTTAAATAAGTAAATTTAATATAGATCGGTTTAAATTTTATTTTTAAGATTTTAATAAATGGAATATAGATCTATTTAAATTATTGATTTATTTTATTTGGATTATAGATCGATTTTATTTGTTTAAACATTA